CATTTGGCATTGTGCCAGTTTTTGTAACTGCTTCGCACATGTGCTAGTTTGCGCGTATGAAATTCACGGTTATTCAGTCATCCCATTATGGTAAAACGGCTTACGTAGAGCCATGCATGGGATTTGTATAATGGATTGTAAGATGGGAGTAATATCACTATTTAATTAAACAGGGTATTTATAGGAATGCACTTTTAATTTACTAACCTCTTCATCATAGCTATCACAAGTTTTTGACAGTTCTGACCACCAATATTTTGAACTCTTTGCTTCTAATAGAAAGAAATAATTGAAATCTGACAATTCCTAATTAAGTAGTAAAAGTTATATATTGTAAAGAAAATTAAAAAAAAAAAAGAAAAATCTGTCAAATTAGTATTTAGCAATTTACAACTGCAGAGATACTACTGAGTTACTAGATGAAACATTGTCAAGTGCTGAGTCAAACTTATCAAATTCTATTATGCTGTTCATTTCAGTTACTACTTCTTCTTCACACTATTTTATATTAAGTTTTTTGTATCCTGGGGTTTCTATCTCATTTAAGAGAAGCAATACATAATATTGAAAGTCTAAACAAATTTACAATAATTAAATTTTTTATTGTCTTAACTAAACTACGTAAATAAATTTAAAATACAAAAATTTAACAATTTAACAACTTTACTGGTCTAAGCCTAAATCAGAGAAAAACTAATAGACAGTAAAATACCTAATAGTGGCAATGCTATATTATATATATTAGCATTTTTCTCAGATTTCGGATTAGACAAGAAAGATTGTTCCATAGATTTATAGTTTTAATAATATTGAAATAATGGATTTCATGAAGGTGATTATTTAAAGTTAAAATTGGAACCTCATCATTTTAATGATATTTTTTAATATTGACAGTCATGTTAGCATTTTACAACAAACATTACATTATTATTTTTAACTAAAGACTTGCTTGCTTGAGATAATGGAAATCCATAATGTTTATCCTTTTTATTTAAAGATGATGAAGATTGATGTGTTTTAAAATAAATCTCTTAGTCATCACAATCAATATCATCATTGTTTACTATTTTTTGACCTACACAACACAAACATAGAGAATATTTGAATTTCATCTAACAACTTGTCTTCTCATGTAGCAATTTTACAATTAAAAATTTTAACAAAATACTTTACAGATTATTAACTTTATAAGTAAAATAGGCTATATAGTATGGTATATAATATTATAGGTTTTATACTGCTAAACATTTGGTAATAACACCAGAATATCATTAAAAAATAAAAATTTTAAAATGACATTTTGAAGTAAGTCACTTCCTTTCTTGAAACAAATCATCATATTTTTTCCTTTCAGCCTTTTTTAACTATAGTAATTCCTTTATAAAAACCACTGATATTATTTTTAACTTTTAGAGTTAAAGATGAAAATACAGAAATTCAAACACAACCTAGTTTCAACAAAGGCATACAACTTTAAACTAAAAATATTCCAATATATTTTCAAATTTAATTCTATAAAAAAACAATACAAACACTTGGTTGATTTAAATATATACTAATTTATATAATTTTTACTTAAATAAATCAATTCGCCTAATCGAAGGTCACGCCATTATTTGAGTAAACATACTCTTTTAAATATTGCCGTGCTGTACGTTTAAAAAAAGTTTTTTTATCACGTTAAAAAAACGTTTTAAAAACGTTCATTAGCTAACTGAGAAATTTTGTAAGTTAATAAAAATAAATAAAACGTTTAAAAAACGCTAAAAAAACGTTTAAATTAACATTAAAAAAAACGTTTGCCAAAAAACGTTTTAAAAACGATTGTATTGATTCTTTTAACGTCCGACCGTAAATTGAACGGAATTAAAACGTTTTAAAAACGTCCTGTGCTTACTGGGTAAGTTATAAACCTACTAATTTATTTTAATAATAAAATAAAAATAGAAAGTTTTCATTAACAAACCAACAACAAAAAGATTGTCATATAAAATGTTCGATCTAGTCAAGGGCCGCAGCCATTTTAAAAGTTCTTTTTAAAATTGGTTGACGCATGCGTACCTAAACATAGCGCGTTTTCCTTATATCGAAACGACCGTGAAAAAAGTATGGAAATAAGTCTATAGTTTGAGATATTTGCATCATCTCCAGATTTAAAAACTGGTATTACCTTTGCAATTTTAAGTTTTTTTGGATAGATTCCTTGTTTAAACGAAAGATTAAATATATGCAGAAGAACTTTTTTAATATGGTAAATACATTTAGTTACAACGTTACTACTAACATTATCAACTCCTACCCAGTAAGCACATGAACGTTTTTAAAACATTTTTTTAACTTAGAAAAAAAACGTTTTTTAAACGTTCTGAATGGCAATACCTAAAAAACGTTTTTAAAAAAGCGTTTAAAAAACGTTCTAAAAAAAATGTTTAAAAAACGTTCTTATATAACCTAAATTAAACCATAAAAAAACGTCTTTTAAACCTTTAAAAGACGTTATTTCTTAGAAAATATTCTCAAATCCATAGGTACTATTATTAAATTGTTTTAAAAAGAGCCTGTTGGTTCAAAAAACAAGAAAAATAAAAAATTTATTTAAAAGTTATTTTTAAATTTATTTTTTAAAACAATTTACAAACAAAGTAATATTATAACGATGATATCTGTTAGATTTAAGGCACTTTAAGACAAGCAAAAGTTGCCCGCTTTCACGAAACAGTAATTATTGCATCGACAATCGACTCTGTGTATGATTCGTGAGAAGTCGATGCACAAACTAAAAAAAAAAACTATATATTTAAAACAGACAATCTGAACAGTAATAATAGTATTATAGTATAATAATATATATATATATATATATATATATATTATATATATATATATATATATATATATATATATATATATATATATGCAATGTGATACAAAATACAAAAATATTTAAACCTCAAATTTATATATATATATATATATATATATATGCAATGTGATACAAAATACAAAAATATTTAAACCTCAAATTTATATATATATATATATATATATATATATATATATATATATATATATGCAATGTGATACAAAATACAAAAATATTTAAACCTTAAATTTATATATATATATATATATATATATATATATATATATATATATATATATATATATATATATATATATTATATGCAATGTGAAGTTATATATATATTTTTAAAACATATATTTGTAATTTAAAAAACTTATTTCAATTATTATTATTATTATTATTATTATATATTATATATATATATATATATATATATATATATATATATATATATATATATATATATATATATATATATATATATATGCAATGTGAAGTTATATATATATTTTTAAAACATATATTTGTAATTTAAAAAACTTATTTCAATTATTATTATTATTATTATTATTATATATTATATATATATATATATATATATATATATATATATATATATATATATATATATATATATATATATATATATATATATATATATATATATGCAATGTGAAGTTATATATATATTTTTAAAACATATATTTGTAATTTAAAAACTTATTTCTATTATTATTATTATTATTATTATTATATGTTATATATTATATATATATATATATATATATATATATATATATATATATATATATATATATATATATATATATATATATATATATATATATATATATATATATGTATATATATATATAATATATAATATATAATATATAATAATAATAATAATAATAATAATAATAATAGAAATAAGTTTTTAAATTACAAATATATGTTTTAAAAATATATATATAACTTCACATTGCATATATATATATATATATATATATATATATATATATATATATATATATATATATATATATATATATATATATATATATATAATATATAATAATAATAATAATTAAAATAAGTTTTTTAAATTACAAATATATGTTTTAAAAATATATATATAACTTCACATTGCATATATATATATATATATATATATATATATATATATATATATATTATATATATATATATATATATATATATATATATATATATATATATATATAAATTTAAGGTTTAAATATCTATGTATGTATATATATATATATATATATGTATATATATATATATATATATATATATATATATATATATATATATATATATATATATATATATTTATATATATATATACACACCTATATACAGTAGAGGCATAAAGTCATGACCACAGTTGAAAAACAAGAGAAGTTAATTCATTTCTGGCACAATATAAATAAAACAGCATCACATTGAAATAAAAACGACTCTGCATTGTCAGTAATAAGCGCCACTAATAAAACATAAGAAATTCTGACTAAAAGACTAGTATTTTGTATGCCCTCCATGCGCATCAAGCACGGCCTGTACAAGTCTTGGCATAGACTGTACCAGCTATTGGATGGTTTTAACAGGGCTTGCTAGCCATGCAGCTTGCAAATGTTGCCACAAATCATCTAGATTGCTGGGTTTGGTTTTCTGTACTTTTCTGAAGAGCTACTCCTACAAATTTTCAATGGGGTTCAGGTCAGGACTTTGTGGAAGCCATTCAATAGCATTGGTACGAGCATGTTTGAGATATTCCATTACTTTTGTAGCTTTGTGGCAAGGAGCATTGTCCTGTTGAAAGAAAACTGATTTGTTTTTACCAAATAGTTATATTTCCAAATATTTATCCTGGTTTAGCGTGCCCGTACAACAAAATAAATGACCTACACCTGATCCTGACATGCAACCCCATACCATAAGTGAGTCTCCTCCATGCTTTACTGTATGAGGACTAAATCATTCACCAACACACAAAAGACTAAGTCATTCACCAACTCTTCTCCTCAAATAAGCTCTTTTAGCTCTACAGATAACAGTAAAGGTACTTTCATCACTCCCTAGCATTTTGTTTCATTGTACGACGGTCAAGGTTTTTTGCAACTTCGCAATACTCTTTTTTTTGCGATGTTATAAGGTCGCAATAAAGGCTTCTTTGCAGCAATTCTCCTATTCAAATCAGCTTGCTGCAGGCGTTTTCTAACTGTGCTTGCTGTCAGATGAACTTTTTCCCCATGTAGGATCTCAAGCTGTGGCGAAACGATTAGACTAACTCGCCCGAACCTAAAGCCGATCCTGCTTGGCGGTAGTTTTACGAGATGGGAATACAAGGGAAATGCACTGAGTCCATTTTTGGCAGTATGGAGTTATTTACACCACTATTTAGTATTCTAAATTTTCTATCATTTGATATACCACACTCATTTAATAAACCAATTATTAAAGTGTTATTAAGATTTAAAATTTCAACTATTACACAAAAACTTATTGGCTCATTATCTCAATAAACAAATAAATAAATATATATATATAAATATATATATATATATATATATATATATATATATATATATATATATATATATATATATATATATATATATATATATATATATATATATATATATATTATATATATATATATATATATATATATATATATATATATATATATATATATATATATAAATATATATAAATATATATATATATATATATATATATATATATATATATATATATATATATATATATAATATATATATATATATATATATATATATATATATATATATATATATATATATATATACATATATTTATATATATATATTTATTTATTTGTTTATTGAGATAATGAGCCAATAAGTTTTTGTGTAATAGTTGAAATTTTAAATATATATATATAAATATATATATATATATATATATATATATATATATATTATATATATATATATATATATATATATATATATATATATATATATATATATATATACAGTGCTTGAAGAGGAGAAAAAGAGGAAACAAGTTAGTATTTGGTAAATTAGAAATACAATCCCGCCTAATAATTGTTATATATAGATTTATATATAAAAGTTATATATATATATATATATATATATACATATATATATATATATATATATATATATATATATATATATATATATATATATATATATAAGTAATATATATATATATATGTATATATATATATATATATATATATATATATATATATATAAATATATATATATATACATATATATTTATATATACATATATATATATATATATATATATATATATATATATATATATATATATATATATATATATATATATATATATATATATATATATATATATATATATATATATATGTATATATATATATATATATTTTAGGTTATCCTATAGCTTTAAACTTTAGTCCAGATAATTCTTTTAACCCAGATAATATTCTTATATATGACTACACAAATGGTTAGTGTACACTTATGATCTAGACTACATTAAAGGTTAATGTGCTATTTTTTAATCAATAGATTAGATTTAATTAATAGATAAACTGTATCGTTAAATTAAAATCTAAATGTTTAACTACATTTAGATTTTATGAATAAAAAGAAAAAAATTTTAAATACAGTAGTTAATTATAATTTCATATATTATAAGATATAATATTATTGAAATATATTATTTTTACTTTTATGACAAATTCACTCATGGCCAAATCTATAATGGCAGCTGGAAAAAGCAAAAGATCTTTTTAGTCTAACCAAGCTGTACAACTTAATAAAAGGTACGTTTATATATATATATATATATATATATATATATATATATATATATATATATATATATATATATATATATATATATATATATATATATATATATATATATATATATATAACTTTTATATATAAATCTATATACAACAATTATTAGGCGGGATTGTATTTCTAATTTACCAAATACTAACCTGTTTCCTTTTTTCTCCTCTTCAAGCACTGTATATATATATATATATATATATATATATATATATATATATATATATATATATATATATATATATATATATATATATATATATATATATATATATATATATATATATATATATATATATATATATATATATATATATATATATATATATATATATACATATATATATATATATATATATATATATATATATATATATATATATATATATATATATATATATATATATATATATATATATATATATATATATATATATATATATATATATATAGATATATATATATATAGATATATATATATATGTATATATATATATATATATATATATATATATATATATATATATATATATATATATATATATATATATACAGTGCTTAAAGAGGAGAAAAAAAGGAAACAGGTTAGTATTTGGTAAATTAGAAATACAATCCCGCCTAATAATTGTTGTATATAGATTTATATATAAAAGTTATATATATATATATATATATATATATATATATATATATATATATATATATATATATATATATATATATATATATATATATATATAAACGTACCTTTTATTAAGTTGTATAGCTTGGTTAGACTAAAAAGATCCTTTGCTTTTTCCAGCTGCCATATTAGATTTGGCCATGAGTGAATTTGTCATAAAACTAAAAATAATATATTTCAATAATATTATATCTTATAATATATGAAATTATAATTAACTACTGTATTTAAAATTTTTTTCTTTTTATTCATAAAATCTAAATGTAGTTAAACATTTAGATTTTAATTTAACGATATAGTTTATCTATTAATTAAATCTAATCTATTGATTAAAAAATAGCACATTAACCATTAATGTAGTCTAGATCATAAGTGTACACTAACCATTTGTGTAGTCATATATAAGAATATTATCTGGGTTAAAAGAATTATCTGGACTAAAGTTTATAGCTAAAGGATAACCTAAAGCTTTAAGCTTGCAAACTAGAAAAAGTGTAAATTGGCATTAGTGTGCCAAACAGGTTAGCAAACATTACCAATAGGCATAAGTGCAAAATTTGATTAAGTAAGAAACAGTTACAAAAACTGGCAGAAGTGCGAACTGACATAAGTGCCTGTAATAAATTTGCAAACATTGGCCTAAGTGCTAATTGGCATATCGCCCTTTTACTAGTTTGCAGTTATGCCAGTTTGGAATTATGCTAAATTTTGCAAATTTATTCGGCACACTTATGCCAGTTCGCATTTATGTTGTTTGCACTTTTGCGAGTTTTTGCAACTTGTTCACACTTATACCAGTTCCCACTTATGGCAATTCACACTTATGCGAATGTTTGTAAATCTATTTAGCGCACTTATGCCAATTTACACATATGCCAGTTTGCACTTATAGCAGTTTGCACTTATACCAATGTTTAGAATTCTTTTTGTGCAGTTATGCCCATTTGCACTTATGCCATTTGGCATTGTGCCAGTTTTTGTAACTGCTTCGCACATGTGCTAGTTTGCGCGTATGAAATTCACGGTTATTCAGTCATCCCATTACGGTAAAACAGCCAATGTAGAGCCATGCACAGGATTTTTATTATGGATTGTATGATGGGAGTAATATCATTATAAAATTAAACAGAGTAATTATAGGAATGCACTTTTAATATACTAATCTCTTCATCATAGCTATCACAAGTTTTTGACAGTTCTTACCACCAATATTTTGAACTCTTTGTTTCTAATAGAAAGAAATAATGGAAATCTGACAATTCCTAATTAAGTAGTAAAAATTATATATTGTAAAGAAAATTTAAAAAAAAAGAAAAATCTGTCAAATCAGTATTTAGCAATTTACAACTGCAGAGATACTACAGAGTTACTAGACGAAATATTGTCAAGTGCTGAATCAAACTTATCAAATTCTATTATACTGTTCATTTCAGTTACTACTTCTTCTTCACACTATTTGATATTAAGTTTTTTGCATCCTTGGGTTTTTATCTCATTTAAGAGAAGCAACACACAATATTGAAAGTCTTAACAAATTTACAATAATTCAATTTTACATAGTCTTAACTAAACTAAGTAAATAAATTTAAAATACATAAATTTAACAATTTAACAACTCTACTGGTCTAACCCTAAATCAGAGAAAAACTAATAGAAATTAAAATACCTAATAGTGGCAATGCTATATTATATATATTAGCGTTTTTCTCAGATTTCGGGTTAGACAAGAAAGATTGTTGCATAGATTTATAGTTTTGATAATATTGAAATAATGGATTTCATGAAGGTGATTATTTAAAGTTAAAATTGGAACCTCATCATTTGAATGATATTTTTTAATATTGACAATCATGTTAACATTTTACAACAAACATTAAAATATTATTTTTAACTAAAGACTTACTTGCTTGAGATAATGAAAATCCAAAATGTTTTTCCTTTTTATTTAAAAATGATGAAGATTGATGTGTCTTAAAATGAAGTCTTAGTCTTCACAATCAATATCATCTTCATCTATTATTTTTTGACCTACACAACACAAACATAGAGAATATTTGAATTTCATCTAACAACTTGTCTTCTCATGTAGCAATTTTACAATTGAAAATTTTTTACAAATTACTTTACAGATTAATAACTTTATAAGTAAAATAGGGTATACAGTATGGTATATAATATTATAGGTTTCATACTGCTAAATATTTGGTAATAACACCAGAATATCATTAAAAAATAAAAATTTAAAATGACATTTTGAAGTAAATCACTCCCTTTCTTTAAACAAATCATCATATTTTTTTCTTTCAGCCATTTTAACTACAGTAATTCCATTATAAAAACCACTGATATTATCATTTTTAATTTTTAGAGTTAAAGAAGAAAAACTCTGAGAATGTTGTTCCCTTTTCTCAAATCCAAATAAATTTTTTAGCATTAAAAGCAGTTGATAATTAAGTAGAATTAAAAACTTAACCTAGTTTTTATAAGCAATCAAGTTTACTCAACAATTAAGTTACGTAATAGAGAAAAAAAAAATCTAGTTAACCACACCATAAAAACTTTATTAATCTTATCTGCTTGATTCAAGTAGAAATACAAACACATAGTTTTAACGAAGGCATACAACTTTAAACTAAAAATACTCCAATATATTTTTAAATTTAATTCTACAAGAAAAGAATACAAACAATACACTTGGTTGATTTAAATATATACTAATTTATATAATTTTTACTTAAATAAATCAATTCGCCTGATCGAAGGTCACGCCATTATTTGCGTAAACATACTCTTTAAGATATTGCCGTGCTTTACGTTTAAAAAACGTTTTTTTATCACGTTAAAAAAACGTTTTAAAAACGTTCATAAGCTAACTGAGAAATTTCGTAAGTTAATAAAAAAAATAAAACGTTTAAAAAACGTTAAAAAAACGTTTAAAATAACATTAAAAAAAACGTTTGCAAAAAAACGTTTTAAAAACGATTGTATTGGTTCTTTTAACGTCCGACCGTAAATTGAATGGAATTAAAACGTTTTTAAAACGTCCTGTGCTTACTGGGTAGTGCTCTGTTTATTTTTAATGAATGCACAGCATCTAATATTTCTTTTTCTGTTAACTCAGCATTTTCCATTAATGATTTTCTAGGAGTCAAGTATTTCTCCTTAAATGTTTCTCATCAAATGTTTAAGCAATTATAGACTCATTTGTAATATCTTGATGATGATAATTTAGTTTTTTTGGAATACCATTTAGCTAAAGTGTTTTTTTTCCAATCACTTTTTTAATGACTTGCCACGTTGCCACGTATTCCCTTTAAATTTTATTATTTTATTTGAATAGTATAACTTCTTTGAAAGTTAGACTATTCAAATAAAATAATAAAATTTTATAATTGATTCAAAGTGACCTTTATATTTTTTATACCTTAATTCATTTTTATAAGTTTTTTCTTTCAGAAACACTTCATACAATCGTTTTTTTTTTTTTTTTTTGATGAATCTATTAATCCTGGTGTAATCCAAAGGTTTATAAATGTTTTAGTTTTAATAATTTTTGTTACCACTGGGAAAGCATTATCATAGTGTTTTTTGAATATCCGAAGAAAACTGTTATAAGCAGTATCTGTGTTTTGAATTTGCAAAATTTCGTCCCAGTTTTCAGAAAGTAGAAAATTATTAAAAAATTCCATAGAAATGCCATTATATATTCGATTTGTAATAATAACTTTTTTTTGAGGGGTGTGTTCGACAACCTTTTGTGCGAATATAAATATTGGGAAATGATCCGATATTTCAGATATGATTTTTCCAGTTTTTTGTATATTCATTAATTAATACTTGATCAATTGAGGTTGCGTTATTCCTAGTAAGGGCTCGTCCATAAATTACGTCACGCTATAGGGCGGATGGGGGGAGAGGGGTTGGTGGTTTTGTGACTACTCATACAAAACTTGATTCTTAAGTATTACAATTTTGTGACGAGGGGGGGGGAGGTCAAAATTGGTCAAAAATTGCGTGACGTAATTTATGGACGACCACTTATTCATGTTGGTTTATTTATTGTTGGAATGAAACCATTTTGGAATATAATGTTCATAAAATTTTATTACATTTTTATTTGTGTCGTAATCGAGCACATTATAATTAAAATTTTATGCGGCAAACGTGTCTTTTTTAATATAAAAGACAGTTTGCCACATAAAATTTTATTTTTAATTAAACTTTTAAAGTGTTTTTCAAAAAACTTGTTATTGCAAGATGGCGGTCTGTACACAACATGTACAATGATGTTTATAATGATTTTATTTATAACTTCAATCTCGACATCACGACTCTGTCAGACAAATAATTTTAAAATTTTAACACTATATAAAAAATCTTTAAATTTATCAAAGTTTTTTTGAAGGCTCCTAATATTTAAGTGTAAAATAGAGAACTCATTAATACCTATATGAGCAGAAAGATTAGAAATATCGAAATTATAATAAGAAGGGCATATGTTGCTAATTATTTCATCAGTGTTAAAAAATTTACATCTAGATCTGAATGACTCTCTAAAAGTATATTTTTATTTGTCTGAAAAACCTTTAAGCTTAATTCACAAATATTCATATCTTCCATAACAACAAGAAAGGTTATACTAACAAAATATTTAAAGTATTAAATAATTAAGGTTTATTAGGTAATTTCCTGAATTATTTTACTATTAATTTATCGTAAATTACAACCAAAAACATACCATTTTTCCTATGTGCCTTCATTTGTTTGAGTAGTTTTTCCCTGATATGTGCAGTTTCCATTGAATAATCCTCATTGATATATATTCTAGACCCTTTTAGTTTACTCGCACTTTTTAAAACTTTTACTTTATCCTTGTAATTTAACAGTTTTATTACTATTGATCTCGATTTACCTGCTTCAATTTTTCATGACCTGTGAGCTCGTTCAATTACAATTCCTTTTAAATTAAGTTTTTCTTCAAAAATAATAATACCTTCAGTTTGGTATCATCCCAATTTTCTTTTTCATTTTCCAATAAACCGTCTATTCAAAGATTATTCCTTCTTTATCTATCTTCAAGCTGCCTTAGTTTATTATCTTCCGTATCTCTGCTTTCTGATTTTAAAAACGATATATACATATATATATATATATATATATATATA